AGAAAAACCCCATGCCTCCTTTTGGAAACATCAATAAACATCCAACGACCACGGGCGCGACTTCGTGACTGTAGTTAGTATGAGATCTCACCTAACTCCTAGTTTTTAAATTAATATATTTGAAATAAGAGACTCGTAGATCAGAAGACCTTGAGAAAAGTACACGGCTAATACCCAATGTACCCCAACCCCTGATTGTCATTACTCCAGATGTGCACCAATCCAGAGTTTTATTGCTCATCCATCTTGCACTTTACGTGATTTACAGGTTTAGACTTAGTGATGACTCATATGCATAACAATACATACATTCCAAACACAATTCAATCAAACAAGGCAAGTTTCCAATTTCAATTCTTGATTTATTAGTGACAAACAACATTTATTACTTATTCCTTTACTACCTCGGTGTATAAACACCTTGAGTGCATAAGGCACCCCAAAACCTTAACCTCGTCTTATAAGACTTGAATTCTTCATTTACTCATCCTGTTTGCATAATCATGCATGAGTAATAAATTAATCTTTACACCAATCACATACCTTTGCCTCTAAGCGCACATTGCATAATTAGAGCACAAAAAATACTTGCAATATAAAATATTGCACATCATATGAAATTCACAATGTATAACCAAACAATTTAACCTAGTCATCCCCATACATGATACTAAGTTCTCGATCCGTCCTTAAACATGCACTTACAAGCAAGGTTTCGTAACTTGTACATACCTTGTGTAAACAATTCGATTGGCCACTTTAAAACTAGAAGTCGCCTTCTACAAAGTTCTCTCCTAAACCAAACAATGAGAAATAAGTCAATACCCAAGCAAATAAATTTACAGCAATAAACTACATTAAAACCTGTTAAATCATCAAAATAATGCCATTAAATTGTCCCCAATAGTCAAAGTTAATAATATAACATCCCAACTAAAAGTTTATATGTTAAAATTATGAAAATATAGTGTATAACAAGAAATTCCAGCAGCTTTAAAGTAAGTAAATAAATCTGAAAATTTGGTTTAAACATATAAAATAACCCTATAAGCATAATTATTTGAAATAGTCGTTATATAGTAAGTTAGTATGTTTAAAACCCAAAAATACATCAATTCAGTGTAATTAGAGGCTTCAAAATAATAACTTTAAAATCTGAAAATTTATTCTTGATATTAGACTTTAAAGTTCAAAGCTTTTTAATCATAAAATACCCACAAACATTGTTCTATGAGATTATAAACATAAAAATATGAAATTAATACAATTTAAACCAAAAATTAAAACTTTAATAAATATGAAATTTTATGCCTTAAATTAGACGTAGTATAATGTATAAATTTGTAGTCTTTTACACTTTTTAAGCATAATCAAATCATAATAATAACAATTTAAGAACAAAAACATAATAAAGGTTAAAACTTGAATTAAATTAACAAAAGGAGAAGAAAAACAAGGAGAGAGGAGGGCGAACTGTGTCGTTGGTGGTGTGCGGGTGGAGCTACGGTCGCCGGAGGCAGCGCCGGTGGTGGTTGTCGGTAGCGGTGGTGAGGTGTTGTACAACATCAATTTTTTTTTTGTTGATGTGTGAATGGAAGAAGAGGCAAAGCTTTGTGAGGGGAATGGGGTTTACGTGAGAGTATAGGGGATATAAGGGTTAGTGGATTTTTATTAGTATAGTGAACTTGGGTTTCTTAAAACTAGGATTGTTACTTGGGCGTAAAGTGAGTAGGCTTTAGAAAAATAATGGGCTTAGCAAATAATGGGTTAAACTTGCATAATAATTTGTGATTGAAATATGGGTAGTGAAATAATTTGATTAACTTTATAAACATTAAATTTATTTGCTTAAATCGTAGTAAAATAAATTATGTAAATAAATAATCATAATTAAATATACACACAAATATTGTTAAAATATAATTTTAAATTTCACAAAATTACGGGGGATTACAATTTACCCTTCTTAAAGAAGTTTCGTCCCCGAAACTTGACCCAAAATCCATAATTTCTCAAAATTATTCAAACTTATGTGTTTTGTATTACTGTAAATTGCTTGCTTCTCGACATGTATACCCAACAAACTGAACTATAAACTCGTACTCGGCAAAGTTTCCATACTTAATAGCATGCAAACACAACAATATTGTTTAATAATAAGCAAAATCATGCAAACTTAAGCAATAACTAGCATAAATGATGTAAAAAGCGCGAAATTATATTGCATTCTAACTCTCTTAAAGAAAAGAGTTTCTCCCCCGTAACTCATCATAATAACCTCAACTGGCACTTCATTCTCATCTCTTCTTTCTGTAATGACTTATCCTCAACTTGATTTTGTCCGATTTCCTCAGATGTTCATTATGGTTTTCCTAAATCCTAAAGAATTGATGTGTCTATTTTATATAGTGTTTTACCCCCGTCTGGTCAGGATAAGTAGTGTTTTTGGCTCTTTAGAGCCACTTTTATTACTAATTAGTGTTTTCTAGTGTTTTCGTAGTTTTGGTTGAGTTTTGTAGGAAATTACACTTTTGGAGCATTTTCCCAGGTTTTCATGGATCAACTACGGAAATTAGAGGAGCACAACCATCTTTGAAGCCCAAGGCCGGTTAGAGTCATCAAGCCGGTGATTAAGGGCTCGGTAATCGGGATACCGAGGTATTTGGACTGAATGATCAAGACCCTAAGTGGATATTCGGACTGGTCCGAAGAAATAAGTCCAATCGAAGTTCCAAGCCTCGAGGTGAAGCAAGGGCCTGATCGGGCAAGCTTAGCTCGATCGGGCGTGGCGCGCGAGAGTGTGCTGGTGCGTGGCTAAAGGCGCGCCAGATCGGGTGAGCTACTAGCTCGATCGGGCGCGGCTGTTTAGATGAGTACGCAGATAAAAAGGCGGGCCCGATCGGGCGGCCCTTTGCCTTATTGGGCGCGTGTTTTTCTAAGTATCTGTTTAGTTTTGTTTTAGGATTTGTTTTAGGGAGGTTTAAGTACGATTTTTGTACGAAATTTAATTACCTTCTTTTACTCTCTCTTAATTATTTTTCTTAGATTTTCTCTTTCTACTTAGCTTTTAGATTAGTTTTCTCTCTCATACCTTTGTTCTTAACTCTATTCTAAATTCCAGATTTATTTTGGTAACGATTTCTCTTTTCTTAATCTTAGTTGCTTACTTTATTCTTTGATCATGTCTCCTTTAATTGTTTTGTTTAGTTTAGATTTTATTATGTGTGAGTAGTTCTATTTCTAGGGTTTATGGGGATCCATAAATAATATGAGGGAATAATTTATTGTTGTTAATTGTCAATGCTAGATTAATTTCCTATTCAATGATTTAATGCTCTCTGACTAGATTTGCGCAAATCTTTTATGCATGAGTTAGACAATATTGATTCGTGATTCGACAGATGAGAATTAATGTTTAGGTCTAGTTTCAATAGGCAGGTTAATTTATAAATGGTTAAGTCGAGATTCGAGAGATGAGATTTAATACCGGTAAATTAATTGTGTGATTGTAATACGTAGCGAAAGCCCTTTATGATCTGATTAATGTATGCATTGATAATTGATTATTATGTTCTACCCTGGAATATTATTTATTGGTGAACCTATGCCCTAGATCCTTTTATTAATTGTTTTCTCCTTATTCTTAATCTTCATAGTTTAGTTTCATATCAAAATTTACATATTGGTTACTTTATAATTTAGATTACTTTAATTACTTAGGAATAGAAAGACTCATTTCGCTGTGGATTCGACCCTACTTCCCTATCTACATTAGTTAGAGGATTTAGGAATTACTTTTGATTAGGGAATACGACTTTACCCTGTCAAGTATACCAATATATCATTAAGAAAACAACCACAAATTTAACGAAGTACTCCTGAAACACTCGATTCATCAAATCCATACAGACTAGGGAATGGGTGAAACCAAAAGGAAAGACTATAAACTCATAGTGCTCAACTCTACTCCTTAAATCAGGTTTAGGTATTTCCTTACCATCAACTCTTAAATTGATTGTTCCTCAAACACAACTCAGTACTTAAAACTACACTAGATTCCGTCATTTTTTTAAAAGGACACAACAAAAGAATAAAAGACATCCTTACTCACAAGTTATGATAACTAAAACACAACCCAAAACTATTTAGTTTCCTAAAACGCTTGATAGCCACAGTTTTTCCTAACGGACTCCTCAAGGTTTTCCTTCACAAAATTGATGGATACATTTCTCTATAAATTGGTTTCCAAATTCTATCCACTAATGTTAACCGTCTCGCGAATCGTATCTCCATTGTCTTTCCACTAAATATTTTCTCCTCATTTTCTCATAGCAATTCAAATTAAAGTAACAAAAACTCATTTTTCATTGTCCAGTTCTATAAAAACCAGGATCTCCACTGTCCTTAAAATTGAAGTTCTATAAATTAAAGTTTACTCTAATACCACTTTGTAACACCCCAATAATTCTCTCTTAAAACCTGTAAATACCCTGAACAAAATGCAAGAGAATTACTAGCGTGCTACCGCCACATGTTCAAACGTTAAGGCAATATCAAATATTAGCAGCGGAAAAACAAACTCAGTTATAAATAAGTTTCAAAACCAATAACCAAAACCAAATTAAATCTTACAACTTGGAACCATTAAGGCCCTTATTCAAAACCCCACAAAAGTAGTAAATAAATAAAACCAGAGTTTAAATAAATTCAAACTTATGAAAAGAAATAAACTGCGAACAATAACCAACTCTCCACTCCAAATCCCACAACCCTGATATGAATGATCACTACTACAAAATGCGTATATTTTCGACGCCATTAGCTCGACGCTGTGATAGGGGCGTCAGCTAGTTATTATAGTGTGCGTGTCTTCTCGACGCTGTTTTAAGTCGAAATTTTATTTCGACTCTAAAAAGCGTCGAGAATACCCTCACGTGTGGGACACGTGGTATGCTTTGATTAATTACATCTTCAATTCATTTTAGGGAAAAAACAACCGCCGCTTCTGAACAAGTAAAACCCTTGTTCTCAATCATTCTTGATATCATCTCTTTTTCGATTCTAATCATCCAAAAATGCAAAGAATTCATCAAGCTTGGATTCCGATATACTTTTTCTTTGGGTATTGCGTTGCGTAATTTTCCTTACTCTTTGTCAATTTTAATCAAAAACGTCTCTTTGTCCAGATCGATGATTCTGAGGTAAATTATTTTTTCCCTAATTTTCTTTTAGAATTGAGTAGTTTAGATCATGTTAAGGGTTATAATTTTGAGAAATGTTTTGATGATAGATGGGTTTGGCTCTTGAAGAACAATATAAGGGCTTTGTTTATGCTTATATATGCTACAAGGCTACAGTTTTAATCCAATTCTAATACGGAGTATTAATTTTGTTTTAAAAAACCAAAATTGCTTAAGATATATGATAAGTCGGTCAATTATTTCTCTCACTTCTGTGCTTCTGTAGTTCCAAATCTACTTTATTTATAGTTGAATAAAAATCTATGTTGAAGGATTTGTTCAATATTTATTACAAATAGGAACATGTACACAAATTGTTTGAAATATCAATCTTTCATTTTTCTTTGAATTCTGAATTTCTTTTCTATTTATGTTCTAAATGTCTAGATTTATGAATTTTATACTAGTTAAATCTTCTTTAAGTTCTGACTATATAGAATTTAACGAAGGTTTTGAGTTGATTGGTTTCTTGATAGTTATTGGAACAATTGAAATTTAAAATTAAAATTGATTGGTTTAGTCGTTAGCCACGCTACCGAAGACATTACATAAAATATCCTCTTGGAGGTAGTAGCAAATATGGAAATCTTAGCTAGAAGGAGTTGCTTAAAGGCATTTTGAGGGATTATAAAAGAGATGATCGATATTCATAATCAACACTAGAAGCCTTTTTATAATTGCTGCCATCTTGCTGATGTAATCAAGTTTTTGTCAACACAGATTAGTATTAAAATCTAAATTTTCCTAGAGTAATCATTATATTTCTAGTCCTCTTTTGATTTAATTGTTTTTTGTTGTTTTGAATCTTTTCTTCTAGTTTTGTTAGTTGTATGGCCTAGGACCTCGCTACTCTATTTATTTTTGAAAATAAATATAGTATAGTATAAAATATTGTATAGGATATTGAATGTATACAAATATAGTGAAATGAACTGATTGTATAATGAACTGATTGCATACATTATTATCTTCTTTCAATTCATAATTATTAATATATAAAGATGATAATATTGTATAATACTTATAGTCTAAATAATTATATAGCAAGGCTAAAAAATTTCTTCTTATTTTGGTTTTCACTTTTTTGTCGTTCCGCACTCTTATTTCATAATGGAAGAAGATTTAAAGTATGTCACTATCTCGGAGGTGGTATACGTTTTTGTAGGCAACTCTCTTCCATTCTACAGTCAAAGAAGAGTATCCTGGTAACATAATTTTCACCTTGTCTATAGCTTCACATCAGTGAAAAGAGTTTTAGACAGTTGAATCAATGCTACATTTTTGCTCCACTAATTGATTGAAAATGTTGAGGAATTTATTTATTAAAACAATAGGATCTCTACTTTTAATGTATGCTACTTCATATATATTTTTTTTTGAGGAACTGGTACTTCATATATGATTATATATATAGTGTTGGTTAGATGACTTATGCCAATTGACTTGTAAGAATTGTTTGTTGTTTACACGTGCAATTCTTTGCTTGTTCTCATTTAATTTGATACTTGTTAAACAATTGCTTTAAGTACCCCCTAGTAATGCACCCTATTATTATTATTTTCTTATTTTATTTGATGTATATATGGTTGATTTGGATCAGAGTATTCTCTTTCAGATTTTGTAATTTGTTTGGCTTTTATTCTTATTTAAGTGTACATAATACTAATTAGTTGAATTAATAAATTCTTTTGTAGTACCACATACAATTTATTTGTTCAGTTGTTGCTCATATTAGTGTTGTTTATGAAAATCATCTATTTTTATGCTGACTGCTAACCAATTCTTGTTTATTGTATTTTCTCAGCTATTTATCCTGACAGTTTTAAAAGGCCTCAAGCATTGTGTTGTTGTTGGTATGATTTTCTTATCTTTTCTTATTATTATATAGTATATTATGGGTGCAAGCTCTCTATTTCATGAAGCTGAATCTGTCTTCCTTATCATTTACATGAAGCCTTGACGTGTCCAGTATCATGGTGATCTTAGAATGATTTCCCTTTTGTCTACATGTGCTTGTGTTGTCTAAGATTTGAGCAAAAATAGCTTCAGCATTGTCATTTATTTCTATTTTAGTTACCTTGGTCTATTATCCATCTAATGATGTTCCTTTATCCATAATCTATCTCACCTATGTTTCGTATCTTGTCGTGTGCTCGAACCGTGATATTTTGCATATAATTTGTATTCATATTGTGTTATAACTATTTTATAGATGTACATGTTATCATTTTGGCTCTCTCTAGCTCTTTATTTCCCATGTATATTTTATCTTATGAGGTTGCTATTTGTGTACTTATGAGTTTATGACTAAATTTGAGCTAAATCAATGGAAAATAGAAACGAACTATGTGATATATGAATGAAATATCCCATGCATTGGCCTGGTAATGCATCTTTACTGTTCAATACATTTTCTCATTGATAATTCCCAACATCCCTTGTTTCTTCTAAATACCAATAGCATCAAAATTATAACAAAGTTGTTGGAACACTAATGTTGTTGTTGTAGGATGCTGACCACAACTGTCACTCCACCTTGCTGTTATTGCTGCTCAACAATGTTGCTGCTGCTGTTGTTGATCCACGATGCTATTGTTGTTAGTCTCCCCAGGCTACACAAAACAACTAGTTCCTACCCAAGGATCCAGAAATATTAAAGGGTGTGCTGTGAATTTAAGGCTTACAATGAGTTATTGGTCACAATTTGAACTTTCCTCTATGCCCTGCTGCAAGCATATTAAGGAGCAGCTAAAAAAAAAAGATTGACTGAAGATATTTTTTTTCTGAAGAAATAAGCGGAGTTGTCTGATGGGCATCAAAGAACTTATTGATTAAGAAGAAATCCTTGATTTCAAATGTGTTGTTAAAATCCAAAACTACATTAGGTGTAAAAATATTATAACTAATTGCTTAGAAACATTGTTGCTAATTTTACTTGTATTAAAATATTATGTGTACCAGAAAATATTAATTAATTTATTTATATACAATAAAACAAGATTTTTGTTTATAAATTTATGATTTTGGAATTTTTTTTTGTTTTGTTTTTGTAGCACAAGGATACTAAGTTGTTTTCAATTACCCTCTCCAATTAATATTATATCAGTGAAAGCATTGATTTCACATAATTAAGAATTCGCGACGCTTTTTAATGTAAAAAATATTTGGAATTGAGGACAATAAAAAGCGTCGAAAACTTTTTTTAATAGATACTAAAAAGCGTCGTAAAACTTTAAAGATATGCGCGCAATAACCCAAATCTGGACACTTTGTATAGTAAATTAGACATAAAAAAGCGTCGAGATTCTCGACGCCTTTTGATGTCCTTCAAAATTCTCGACTCACTATTTTTCGACGCTTTTTTAAAGCGTCGAGAGAAAAATTCTCAACGCTTTTAGGCGTCAAAAATCAGCCTAAAAAGCATCGCAAAAACAAGGAAATTCTAGTATTGGATGCATGTGTAAGAACCTGGGGTTAATCCGCTCCCCAATATTACAAGTGTAAAAATTAGTTCGTCACAGGGTCATTGAAAAGCGAAGGCCATGACCAAAGAAAGACACATAAAACACGCAATCGACAAAGCTGAGTACATACAAGCTGCAAAACACGAAAGAAATCCCTAACATGCTATTAATAATCAATCATCACGCATATTTAGTTTATAGACTCGACACATGACTCAACAATCTATATTACTAAGATTCCATTAATAATAATAGGTAAATCGCTATTTTTATTCATTGGATTGCGCAATAGACAAGGTTGTCTAGCCCATGCTCTATTTGGAACATCAATAAAAGAAAAACCCCATGCCTCCTTTTGGAAACATCAATAAACATCCAACGACCACGGGCACGACTTCGTGACCATATAGTAGTTAGTATGAGATCTCACCTAACTCCTAGTTTTTACAAAAAATTTATTTAAAATAAGAGACTCGTAGTTCAGACGGCCTTGAAAAAGTACACGGCTAATACCCCATGTACCCCAACCCCTGATTGTCATTACTCCAGATGTGCACCAATCCAGAGTTTTATTGCTCATTCATCTTGCACTTTACGTGATTTACAGGTTTAGACTTAGTGATGACTCATATGCATAACAATACAAACATTCCAAACATAATTCGATCAATCAAGGCAAGTTTCCAATTTCAATTCTTGATTTATTAGTGACAAACAACATTTATTATTTATTCCTTTACTACCTCTGTGTATAAACATCTTGAGCGCATAAGGCACCCTAAAACCTTAACCTCGTCTTATAAGACTTGAATTCTTCCTTTACTCATCCTGTTTTCATAATCATGAATGAGTAATAAATTAATCTTTACACCAATCACATACCTTTGCCTCTAAGCGCACCTTGCATAATTAGAGCACAAATAATACTTACAATATAAAATAGTGCACATCATATGAAATTCACAATGTATAACCAAACAATTTTACCCAGTCATCCTTATACATGATACTAAGTTCTCGATCCGTCCTTAAACATGCACCTACAAGCAAGGTTCCGTAACTTGTACGTACCTTGTGTAAACAATTCGATTGGCCACTTTAAAACTAGAAGTCGTCTTCTATAAAGTGTTCTCCTAAACCAAACAATGAGAAATAAATCAATACCCAAGCAAATAAATTTACAGCAATACTAAACTACTTTAAAACCTCTTAAATCTTCAAAATAAAGCCTTTAAATTGTCCACAATAGTCAAAGTTAATAATATAACATTCCAACTATAAGTTTTTATGTTTAAATTATGAAAATATAGTGTATAAAAAGAAATTCCAGCAGCTTTAAAGTAAATAAATAAATCTGAATATTTGGTTTAAACATATAAAATAACCCTATAAGCATAATTACTTGAAATAATCGTTATATAGTAAGTTAGTATGTTTAAAACCCAAAAATACATCAATTCAATGTAATTAGAGGCTTCAAAATGATAACTTTAAACTCTGAAAATTTATTCTTGATAATAGACTTTAAAGTTCAAGACTTTAAAGTTCAAAACTTTTTAATCATAAAATACCCACAAACATTGTTCTATGAGATTATAAACATAAAAATATGAAATTAATACAATTTAAACCCAAAATTAAAACTTTAATAAATCTGAAATTTTATGCCATAAATTAGACATAGTATAATGTATAAATTTGTAGTCTTTTACACTTTATAAGCATAATCAAATCATAATAACAACAATTTAAGAACAAAACCATAATAAAGGTTAACACTTGAATTAAATTAACAAAAGGAGAAGAAAAACAAGGAGAGAGGAGGGCGAACTGTGTCGCTGGTGGTGTGCGTGTGGAGCTACAGTCGCCGAGGGCAGTGCCGGTGGTGGTTGTCGGCAGCGGCGGCGAGGCGTTGTACATCAACATTTTTTTTTTGTTGATGTGTGAACAGAAGAAGAGGCAAAGCTTTGTGAGGGGAATGAGGTTTACGTGAGATTAGAGGGGATATAAGGGTTAGTGGGTTTTTATTAGTAAAGTGAACTTAGGTTTCCTAGTTTTAACAAAACTAGGATTGTTACTTGGGCTTAAAGTGAGTAGGCTTTAGAAAAATAATAGGCTTAGAAAATAATGCATAATAATTTGTGATTGAAATATAAGTAGTGAAATCATTTAATGAAATAATTCGATTAACTTTATAAACATTAAATTTATTTGCCTAAATCGTAGTAAAATAAATTATGTAAATAAACAATCATAATTAAATATTCACATAAATATTGTTAAAATATAATTTTAAATTTCACAAAATTACGGGGGATTACAATGGCCGTCCTCTAGATCATTGGGCCGCATATAAATATCAAACCGGGCCCAATTTGGTAATTTGGCAATAACTTCCTCACTATTCATCGGAATTAGGCTTATAATATATCGTTGGAAAGCTCTTTTCGAACACGACCCAACTACACTATTATTGGACCCTTTCCATGGACCGTACCAAACTGGATTGACTGTTTTCTTAAAATAGGTTTTCAAAAATAGAGAGAAAGAAAAGAAATAAAATTAACCGCAACGCGAGACTTTCCACACTTTCACTTCATTCGATTATTATTCGACATGAAAGGTACTCATCACTGGGTTTGGTTTTGAGGAGACACAAATGGATGTCTACAGAAGCCCCCACTTTGACAGAGTTTGGAGAAACGCAAGTTTTGAAAACAAAAGTCAAACTATCGATAGGGACGGAGAATGATTCAAAATGTTCTGCAATCCTAAACCATTCTTGTAGCGCCGATACCTGCAAACCAGCGTTAGTTAAACATTAAGAAACACGTATCTTGCACCGTCGAGCACACGTCTCTTGAGGTAACCGATTTGTTGCTGTTAATTTGCTGTTGTTGACAACCCTCCACAGGCTAGAGAACGCCGTCGATCAATGTTGTTACATCTCGAGACTTTTTCTTGAATCGTAGTGACAACCTTCCCAATCATAGCAAAAGTCGTCGAAGACCGCCTCATCACGAACCGTCCTTCTCAAATCTTGGTGACAACCTCCACAATCTTAGCGAATGCTGTCGAAGACCGCCCATCTCATGCTATCTTCTCAAATCTTGGTGACAACCTCCACAATCTTAGCGAATGTCGTCGAAGACCGCCCATCTCGTGCTATCTTCTCAAATCTTGGGTGAAAACCTCCACAATCTTAGCCCATCTCGTGCTATCTTCTCAAATCTTGGTGACAACCTCCACAATCTTAATGAATGCTATCGAAGACAGCCCATCTCGCGCTATCTTCTCAAATCTTGGTGACAACCTTCACAATCTTAGCGAATGCTGTCGAAGATCGCCCATCTCGTGCTATCTTCTCAAATATAAATGACATTTTCCACAATCTTAGCGAATGCTGTCTAAAATAACTTTAATTGAAGTCATCCCCAGTTTTTACGATAATATTTCGAAGAAAATTACCGAAGACCAACGCTTGTCGGTCTTTAAAGCTCGCTTGAACTTTGCTTTAGCCGGTGCGTCGGCTCTTTTACTGCTTATGAACCAGTATGTCGGTGCTTTGATTGTGAACTTGTATGTCGGTGCTTTTGAACCAGTATATCGGTGCTTTGAATTGCGAACCTGTATGTCGGTGTTTCTGAACCAGTATGTCGGTGCCTTTTTGTTGTGAACCATTATGTCGCTGCTTTTGTAGTGAGCTAATGTTTAGGCGTTTTAAGCTAAGTAAGATGATCATTTATCAGGTCGATCACTTATTTGCGATTGTAATAAAGCCGATTACTAAATCATGTCAAATTGCTTATAGGGGCTCACTGGCGTACCAAGGAACCCGAAATTGTTGTACGAGGTCGAAATAACCGTTCTAAGTGGCTTCGAGCTCTGTCGCCGCTGCAACGTCTCTAGCGCTGCGATTTTGCTCTGTCACAAGGCAACAGATGTTGGCGCCAAGCGACAGCCTTGTCATCTGGCGCTGGAGTCGGGTCTTCCCTATTTTGCTTTTGTTGCTGCTGTTTGTTGCTCAATTTCGCTTTGATCTTTGAATTCGGTCGTTTCCTTTCAACCAAATCCGCTCAAATATTTTGTAAATTAAAGCTCTTCATATCTAATTTACCAATTCATGTAATTTTGTTCAAGCTCTTCTCATCTTAGAATAATCTCTTGTGTCATATTTGCGGTATTTTTTGAAAAAATCCGGGAATGTTATTGCTTGCGGGGATGCACCTTCATTTATATCTTTGACTATAGGACTTTGCTAATCTCTTTAATTATCTTAGGGTTGACCTAAGGTTTAGTGTTGCTTGACTCATTAACTTGACATGACTCTTGACTTAATGATGACTGACTCAAGGTTGACTCGTGTGTGCATAGTGTTGACTCAATGTGATAGCACGACATGACTCAATGTGTACATGACTCGAAATATAAAAAATTTCCGTCATTTTTGTGGAAGGTACCGACTTTCTCCCGAAAAAAAATATGCGAAAAAGAAAGAAGTGAAGTGTTTGAAGGTGCATGTTGAATGAGCTTAGTAAAATGTTGTTT